AGTTTGGCTCCAGTCTGGAGAACTTAGTGACTTAGCAAGACCTTGTATAAAAATAAAAAAATAAAGAAGAGGGTTAGGGAAGTAGCTCAGTATGAAATTTCTGGGTTCAATTCCCAGTATGGGCGAGTGGAGGGGGGCAGCAAGGAAGATTTCTAGAAGTTATTTACTTCCCAAACATACCAGATTCTTTGGCACCAAAAACAAACCAAAAGGAAACAAAACAAAACAAAACTCACCTCACACACTTTCAGTGACAATGTAAAATGCTGCAGCCACTAGGAAAGTTTGGTAATTCTTCAAAAGGTTAAACATAGAGAGCCAGGTATGGTAGCACACACCTGTAATCCCAGCACTTGGAAGGCTGAGGCAGGAGGATTGCTTCTCCTTCAAGGTAGCCTGAACTACATGGTGGGACCCTGTCTCAAAAACAAAAGGTTAAACATAGAGTCATGATAAGACCCAGCAATCCTACTCCTGGATGAATAAGCAAGATAAATGAAACACATACCCACGCAGGCTCCTACATGAACACTCAAGCACCACTGTGTAACGGTCTCCAAATGTCCCTCAACCAATGAATGGATAAAAAAATATATGTTACTCAGGTAATAAAAGGAAGGCATAATATGTGTTTCAATGTGGATCACCCTCGAAATTATCATGCTAGGTGAAAGAAGCCAAACACAAAGAATCCATGCTGCTTGACTCCATGATAAAATATTCAAAATAGGCAAATGTACAAAGACAGAAGATTAGTGGTTGCCTAAGGCAGGCGGGACCCGGTGAAGTGGTGGTGAGGGGCTTCTAATGTTTCTGGTGGATACAAGATTTTCCCAAGGATATGGCAATATTGTAAAATTATGGTGATGGTTGTACAGCTCTTTCACTACATTTAAGAATCACTAAATGAAGCTGGGCATGTTGCTGTGTGCCTGTAATCCTGGCACTTTTGAAGCCGAGGCAGCAGAATTGTCATGAGCTCAAAGTCAGCCTGGGCTACACAGTGAGTTCAAGGCCTGCCTGTACTACATACCAAAACCCTGTCTCAAAACAAAACAGCGCCCCCCTAAATAGTGCTTTAAATGGATGAATTACACGGTGTGAGTTAGGCCTCAGTACACCCGTAACTGCACACACACAGGCACGTGTGCACACACACGTACACACAGTAGTGCCCTTCTCCCGCACCCCCTCTAGTGGTTCAGGACACATCCAGTGCTCCAGACATGACTCAGTAAAGCAGGTCCTGCTGTAAATGCAAGAACCCGAATCTTTTTTTTTTTCTTTTTGGTTTTTCTTCCGGTACCAGGAACCTAACTCACGACCTCGCGCTTTGCCGCTGAGCTAAATCCCCAGCCCCCCGAATCTTTATTAAGTGTCTTCATGACAGCCCTTGTTCACTTAGAGCATAATCCTTCAGATTCTTCGTATCTTGCAGAATCCTTAGTCGAAGGTATGGGTAACTCCCTGATACTTGCACGGGGTGAGGCACTTAGGGGTAAGTTGCCCCAGCCTCCCCCGTCTCGAAGGCCCGGAAATGAGTGTGTTTACAAACCTTTCTTTCCTTACCCTCAGCCCACTTTGGTTTATTTTCTTTAGCAGATGATCTCTTAGCCCCATGCTTTCCCAGTGGGTTGCCCCAGCTTCAGCCTGATCTCCTTGCCCATCTTCCCAGCAGTTTCAGCTTCACCACTGCCACGCCAGGGCCTGGGGTCTCGGCGTGGGGCGAGGGGAAGGGAGGCTCAGAAGAAAGCCCAGCGGGGAATGGTTTCTCCCAGTTTCCTGAACCTACCCCGCGTCTCATACACATCAAAGCAGCTGAAGAAGGTCCATGAGAAGAAAGACACTTTCAAGAAGTACTGCATGGGACACTTCTTGTTTAAAAAATTTTAAAAATAATTTCACTTTAATGTCAACTTTGGTTTCATGAACTGCTTTTTAATGAACACCACTCATGTTAAACCACACAGCTCCCTACTTTGTAAATGTACCCGCAGTTCATAGCTTCACCACCTCTGCCCTTTCCACGGCTCCCGTGATCTGCACATGGGCCATGGGAGGACAAGACAAGAGGGCAAAGCCGTGATTGTTAGAGATTCTGTACGATAAAACGTTAACAGTTTCCTGAGTTGTAGGATGTGATATTCTTTCCCTAGTACTTATCTGTACCTTTCCAGTTTCGTCTGGGCAATGTTTGTCTATTAAGTAATCCATTAACAACACTACCCCCGGTGCTAGGATTAGGCCTGAGTGCCACTAATAGCAGGTCCTGGGGCGGGGAGGGTAACCCAACCACGGAACAGAGAGCAGTGTCCCAGCTCAGAGCATGTCGAGGTTTCCAGTAACGCAAGCTTGCAGTGAGTCCCGCCTCTGTGCGCTGGCCCCAGGACCACGTTCAGCGCTCCCACACCCAGATCCAGCCTCTGCTGGGGGAGGCGTCGCTCCTCACAGGCTGCACCTCTGCTTTTGGGACAGCTGCTTCTGTGATAGCATAGAGCCAAGGAGAGAGGTACAAAGATCGCAGTGCAAGGAGGCTACCCGGGTTCAAATTCCTTCCGGTGACTGAAGAGGCCAAGGAACCCTGTACTCATGGTCTAGGGGCAGGGATGAACCTTTGAGGGACCAAACGCCAAACTGCAACCCCAAACCCACTTATGCATCACGAAGGGCCAAGGGCAGCGAAATCTGAATCCTGAGGTCTTAGTTTAGAAAGAACAACTTGACATTAACATCTTGTCCTAAAGCCCAGGAACACTTGCGCATAGGTTCGGACTACTGCTTTAGGGGAACTGGAAATATTTAGGCTTTAGAAACGTGAGAAGTAGCAGCCTCTTCTGCAAAATGGTAGAGGGTTCTCACCGGGAGGACTCCGGGGTGACAGGCTAAGGACACCACTCCGGGAAGTCGCAGCAAGGCTAGTTCTCCCTTCATTTGGGAGGTACATTCCAGCCGTCAGACATCACCTCTTGTGGGCTGCCTCCCGAGACAGTGCCACCTTCGCAGAGCTGGATCTTCTCATCTCAGAGGCTTAGGAGGCCCTGCAAGCTCCAGGAGAAACCTCATTCCGCTCACCTTGCCCCGACTCCAACCCAGATCTCCAAGTCTGCAGTCTAGGGCTCTCTGTGCTCTTTGGTTTATTTTATTAGCAGATGTTCCCTTAGCCCCAGGCTTATGTACCGCTCTACACAATGCGCCATTTGACTCCATGAATCACTAATTTCCCAGCTGCAAGTCAAAGCTGCACCTCTGCCTCTCTGGAGCTGTTTGGTCGATGCACGGCTACGGAGGCGCTGCTGCCCTCTGGTGGAAATGAAGAATACAGCTGCTTAGGGAAAGGCAGCTTGAGGTTTTCATCTGCACACCCACTTCCCACCTTAACCTCCTCAAGCTTCACCTTCTGGTGTGAGCCGGAAAGTTCTGACTCCAGCCCACTTGTTTACATTCACACCACCCTTCTGTCTCCCAAGACCCTGGAACTTCAGTCACAGTATAAAAGCCAGATTCCTAGAGAGTGGTGGCAGTGTCACTGGTCTGGAGGGGGAATCCTTTGCGGAAAAGAGCTGCGCGATGTTACTTAGAGCTGCTCATCACAGCCCAGAGTCCCGTGTCCTACCCCAGGCCAGCCGCGCTCAGGCTCCTGCAGGCCGGTGGCCCCAGGTTCTGTTCGTCAGGCCTCGGCCTCAGGGACAGCCACAGCCAATGGTCTGCCCTTAGGAGGCAGCAATCCCCACACGGCCCACATGCCTGCACACACCTAGCAAGGCTCTGGGTAGGGTGTGCCCCTCTGGTGAGGGGGAGCTCAGCGAGCAGGAGCAACAGGCAGGATTTCTCCGTTCCTAAACAGCAGTCACCTGTCCTTGCCGCTGGGAAGGGGCGCCCGAGAATACCACGCGGCTCGAGGCTCGCTGGAGCATCAGGCAGGTGTTAACCCCAAGCTGGAAAAACGGTTTGGAAGAAAACTGTTTATAGCACGGTAAGGAATGGGCCTGATTCATTCTTAAAAACCCGTTTCTTTGCACCTAGGTTTCTCTGCAAAAGAAATTTTTCCTTTGACGAATCGCCTTAAGTTCCTATTGTGGTCTCTAACGATCTTTTCACTTTAGCCTGGGAACGCTAGTCCTGGACTAGGCTCATTTTTCTTTACTACGTTCACAGCTAAGCCGGCTTCAAAGGCATGCAGTGCTTTATTGACCCGGGCAGCTCCGCACCCCCGCCCCGGCCCACGCCCTCTTGTGGAGAAGCAACACCTCGCCGAGGCATTTATGAGGGGTCTGCGGCAGCGCCCTCCTCAGCCCTGCTCACTCGACATCTCACACTCTGAAGTAACAGTCAACTGTGACCAATAAATGCTTAACCGTCTGTTAGATACCTTGACCTTTGAAGATTCTTGCCTTTTGAACTGGCTTTTCCATGAGGCGTCATTACTGGTATAAAAAGGCTCCCTAAAAATATTCTCACTACAATATAAACAGCCAACTAGCAAGAGTGCTACTTACCTTCCTTATCCCAAGTATCAGGTAAGAGTAATAACGGCAAATCTGTCTTAACAACGGTTTGTAAATAAAAACACGCAACTGTGAGGGCCGCTGCAGACCACGCTGCACCTGGAGTTTTACAAGCAAAATCCCCAGGTCTTACGCTAACCTGAAAAGGCACGGAAGCAGACCTGTCTTTCACCCATGACTACGCAAGGACATCTGCATTTTCTACTGGCCTCTCCTCCATTTGGGGCATAGGCTCTAGAGGTCCTGAACAGACACTAGAAACCACCGTGGGAACTCAGCTGGGGACCAACTACGGTTTGCTGGAAAGAGCTATCGCTGGAATCTGGGAAGGCAGGCGGCAAGACTCGAAGCTGTGAACACAGGCCCGGTCCCTATCACCCAGGGCCGGGGCCAGAATACCAGCTGCTTCGGTCAAGACGGTGAGCTGAAGAGACCCATCATCCACTTGCTTGCTGCTGCTGTTTTTCTGATTAGAAGATACAGAGACACTTTAGGTAACTTTTTAATTTAACATTTATTTTCATTTTATATCCAGATGTCACATTTTCTACATTAAAATATAATCATGCTGATGCCCCCCACCCCTAAGCCCTCGGAGAAAAAAGTGAAGAACTTTACACAACTGGAGAGATGGGATGCACGGAGCAGGGAGGCTGCCACTGCACCTGAGTAACACGGAACACGAGGAGGCCGAACGGCAGACTCGGTGGAACTGCGCGGGAGATAGCTCGGCTACGCCGGGAAGGAGTGAAATGCTACCACTTGTGCCACAAGATCACCCTGAAAAGGCAGAGCTGGGTCGGCAGGCGGGAATGACCGGGGACTTTCCACAGGCTCCTCACAGAGCTGAAATACCCACAAAGCTGAGCGCTCTGCCCTCCTCTCCGTCCTCAGCATCTGGTGAACGCCTGGGCCACTGAAAGCGCTGTGAACGTCAGCGTGCACGAAGGACGTGGGCCACACTCTTTTCTCGTCACATTCCAACTCTTCCCAAGCAATGGTTCTACTGGAGACGCCACGGCGCCTCTGCAGGGACACCCTGAGGCTTGGTGAGTCCCACCACCGCAGGGTGGACGGCAGCTGCGCAGAGCTGCACCGTCTGTGCATCTCCTAGGGAGAATGGCTGGACACAGGGACCCCCGAACCCTTTTCAGGCAGAGAGAGGAAAGGAAACTCCCTCTGCTATTTACTACACTGGAAAAAGCACGTGGACAGTGAAAGCCATCTGCTTGGAGCGCAGCAGACCCACGCGCACACCAACAACCCAGACAAGGCTCAAGACAGCGCCTCCGGGCCCTGGTGAAAGGTGCTTCTTCCAGACCTGCCTTTAATTTCCTACAGCATTTCAGCTTCAGAGGGGGCTGAGAGGTAAGGCCTGAGAGACCCAAACAATTAAGACATTATTAGGCAACTGACCACACCATTATGTACAAATACATACATCCATAAGAAACTTCGCCTCCATCCCCGCAGCTACTTTAAACAAAGCACTGAAGATCAGCTTCTCAGAGTGAGGATGCTTTAAAGTCTGTTAGTTTAGACACTGCAACACTGGCACAATGTTACCTACTCTCTGCTTTTAATTACAGGGTAACACAGTGAGCTCCCACAGAGGCGGGGACGGAGGAGTGCAAAGGAATCAAGACAACCAATGTTTCGCGGGAGGGTCGCACCACAGAAGCAGCAGCAACTAATGCTTCGCGGAGTCTCGAGGGTAAAATTCACTCAGGGTGCTCTGAGGGATTCTCTTCAGCATTTCTTTGGGGAAGATTCGGAGCAGCTGCCACCCAATGTCCAAAGTCTCATAGACACTGCGATTTTCGTAAGGACCTTAAAAGAAAGGGCACTGAATTAATGGCAAAGTACCTCCAGCTTGTCAGTGTTATTCAGCTGTTTATTCTGCTGTGATAGAAAGCACTGCGGGCATAAAACGCGAGAAAGGAAACCCGTCCGACTCTCGAGACTCGGTGAGACTGAATGTGGAGCTGAAGGTATGAAGGGAAGCAGAAAGGAGGGAGAAGCCCGGGGGCTACAGACAGTGCGTGGGTGGCCGCGCGAGCGCGCGCTTGTGTGTGTGTGTGTGTGTGTGTGTGTGTGTGTGTTGGGGGAGGGGGCTGAGCCACTGTTGCTTACCACTGTGTAGGATCCGTGCACAGTGCAAATAAGATTCTGTGTGAAAAAAACAACTCAGAACGCAGGGCTGGATGTGAGGGACACTTGCAGAGACGCTCAGAAAGCCTTAAGCGCCAACCGAACAAATGAATGTGTGCTGAGTCAGCGGTTTTCAAGGTTGTTATTTTCAATAACAGAATCACCCTCAGCACTCACATTTCATCCGCTCGTCAACCAAGGAATCAAGAGTGGCTGGACTGGGTTTCTTTCCCTGGAGAACTTCACTCCGTGTGTGCGATTAAAGAATCCCAGTAATCATGTATATTTTGGAGGCTTTCATACGAAAAAGGTATTAGAAAACGCACGAATCCCAAGCACGCCACCCGAGGCACAACCTCAGAGCCAGACACTTGCTGCAACAGTCACGGAGGCGCCAGCGGGCAAGCAGCAGAGCCTGGAACTCCCACGTGCGATGATGGAGCCCTCCCTTTTAGCAGGGGGACGGAGGGAATCAGCGCGGTGACCTTGAGTCCCGGAAGATGCTGAAGAAGCTGGCACTGCTGCCAGCCACAGTGGGGCCTTAACACGCAGCATGGTCCCCGGGCGGCCACCTCCTCCCCAGGGCCCTTCGTCCACACGGACTCCCCAGCCCCACAGCACTGCAGAATCAGAACCTGCACCGCAGCACAGCTCCCAGCTGACCCCAGAGCCAGGCAGAGCCCGAGAAACTCCAGCCTGCGACACTGGGACAGGAGTGAAAACAAAGAAGGGCAGGGTACTTTAAGGGGGAGCACGACGGGATCTGAAGACGTGCGAGCCTCTCATCACCGGGGAGTAACACAGGTTAAGAATGAAGCCCAGTTCCCGGGCCGGGTTAACCAGGACGGCGACCTTGCCAAAAGCAGACAGAGCCCACCACGATGCCGACAGGCGCATGTCAGCTGGGATGAACTCTGGTTCTGGTCCCCTGAGACTGAGGGGTTGGCAGCATCGTAACAGCAGCATCCCTAAGGCAGGTGGAGGTGTGGGGGCCTACAAGAGGATGAGGATAATGCAGAGCAACACGGAGTCCATGGCATAATGAAGCCAATGTTCAGCGGGGAGAAACAGAAATAAAAGGGGACTGACCTTCCTGGAATATTAGCAGTTAAGGAACAGCAGGTAAGAAACAAAATGAGATGAAAACTGAGGCACTGAAAGTCCCCCAAAACAAAGGACACTGTTACAGAGAAGTTCTTAGGAGAGCTGGCAATGCAGAATGAAGAAATAAGATGCAGCTAAAGTTGGGCACTATGACACACACTTGCAATCCTATCACTCTGGGAGGCTGAGGCAGGAGGACTGCAAGCTGTCACCCAGCCCAGGTACTTAGTGAGACCCTGTCTTGAAGTAAGGGCTGGAAATGTAGTTAAGATCCTCTCAAGATGTTTAGAAGACAGAGCAGAAAAGGCCCCAGAGTTAAGGCAAAGGCACGGCAGGTGGCTAGAAGAGCTTCTCTAATCAGAGGGAAATTGCAGTGAGACCAACGTAAGTTCTCTCAGATGGGAAGGAGGTATTACATGACCTGAAGCTTTATGTTGAAAGGAAATGGTCATCGTACCCTGACTGATGAAGTTCCTCTCAAACTTCTGCAGAAACTCCAAGTACAGAAGGTCGTCAGAGGTAAGGGCTTCTTCTCCCACCACAGCTTTCATGGCCTGCACATCCTTGCCGATAGCATAGCACGCATACTGAGGAGAAGGAGGGCGGTGAGAACAGAGGTCCAGGGCACACAGACGCACTGCTGCGGCTCCTTCCTGAGAAACCACAGGAGTGCACCAGCACAGTTCCCACAGAGCTCCTGCGGAAGTGCCACAGGACTGCGTTATGAAGTATCCTCCCTCAGTAAGAAGGCTTCAGGCAAAGCAATGCAGACATTAGCGACACTACGAAAATATTCTTCTTTAATATGCTAACGAGCTTATGTTTATAGCATCTGAAAAACAGAATTCATAAACCATGGAGAAATCTAACTCAAAGTTCCACTCAAAAAACATCTGTGTAGCACAGGTTACCATTTCTACTTTACAGACAAAAGTATTTTTGTGTCTGGTGGACAATCTTATGTGAGCACACAAATCAAAGACTTTATAGAATATATAAGACTATATCCTTCAGTGTTCTGGTGACTGCTTAATACGTTAAACAAGAAATACGTTAAGAGTATCCTTTCAAGAATATAATTACTACTAAAAATTAAAACTTTATGTTTTTTTTTTTTAGAAATTACAACTTACTTTCACAGAACTGGTCACGGTTTTCAACCTTCGTAGTTTTAATCTTGATTATAAGCATCTATCCTTATGAGAAAAGGTCTGCTTTAGTTTAAACAAATCCTAGATTACAATTCTACTTGGATGGGATAAAGAAAGTGCACACACAGGAAGAAGAGGGACAGGTGCACCAAGTGCAGGAAGGCAGCCCTGTTTCCGTCAGCACCGTAGGAGAACACACATACCAGCTGGTTGGATACGTCCGCGTGGTCCTTTCTCGTCATGCCTTCTCCGATCGCAGACTTCATTAACCGTGACAGGGAGGGCAGTACATTAATAGGTGGATAAATCTTGGGTGGAACAGGAGGGAAAAAATAACTGTAAGTACAAAATGCAAGCTCTACTGGACAAAGAAGAAATCAGAACTACTACCCTTAAAATTATATAAATCTACTGCATTTGTTTCCTGGATGGTTCTAATATCTTTTATGGTAGTACCAACACTTTACAATGTAAAATTTCTTTTTTGCTTCATAAGTGCTGGGATTATAGACGTGTGCCATCACGCCTGGCAATGTTTCTTGAGAATCAAACCCAAACAAGTGAAATCTGTGAGAGTACAAGACTATTTGGAAAAATTATAAATTTTCAGCATCTGCTTGTTATTTTTTTTTTTTTTTTTTTTTTTTTTCTGCTTGTTATTAAGTCTAAACAGTCTCTTACACTCTGACTCGAGAAAAATCATACACAAATAAAAAGAGGAACAACTGTTCCTCCTAAATGTTGATTTTGATGCCAGTTTTTGATATAGAACTATCAAAAATTTGCTTTTCTATTCATAACAAGAATGGGGTACTGTATTCATTATGGAATAGAATACCCCAGAACATTCTTTCAGAAAACCTGACTCCCTCTTTAAGGTATTATAAAGTGGTAAGCCTCACAGTGCTGCGCTCGTGTCAGATACCTGTCTGTTGTGCAGCTGTCTGTCCACGTAGATCTGGCCCTCTGTGATGTACCCAGTCAGGTCAGGGATGGGGTGAGTGATGTCTGCCGGAGGAGGAGGAACAGCATCAACTACGCAGGCCTCTCAGAACCGAGCCCACACGCAGCCAGTCTGCGTTACCTGGAAAAGTGCTCCTCACCAGACTCCTCCGTGATGACACGAGTGCTGTGTCTGGGCTGTGGAACACTTGAGATGTGGCCAACAAAACTGAGGAGCTTAATTTCAAATTTTGTTTAATTTTAATGAACTTGAACGTATGCAGTCACGTGTGCCTGGTAAGTATTGCATTAGCCCCTTTAATTTGTTTGGTTACAGCAGCTCAGACACGTTAGCACCACGAAGTCACCAGGCCACATTCATAAACAGCACTCTCTCTCCTAGTTAGGTGCTTTCTCGTAAAAATATTAAATAAAACTCCATTTTAAACACAAAGTTCCCTTACAGAAATTTGCCAGCTTTGCATACACTGACAGAACACTCACAGTCCACACACTGTCTCAGATGGGCATGTGATATTTCACTATGCAAAATATGGGAATGCCAGGTAAGTAAGACAACACTACTCAGGCAACCATCAAAAAGGTCACACAGAGCAACACATTTCCACGGCTGTTAATTACATAAAGCAGTTCTGCAGCTGCTCCTTCAGAACATGCATTTTCATGTCAGAGGCACAGCAGCGTAACAGTTAGTATGAATGACACGTTCAGGCTGCCTAGGTTGTGAATCGGTCAGATTACTTCGTAGTGCAGACCACAGCACCTGCTCAAAGCCGCTGAGGACCAAAGGAGTGACTATTGTACTGACAAAGCACTCAGGACAATGCTCAATTAATTATAAACAGCACTAGACCTGAAAATACCTTGTAGAATCGTGTTTTTAAAACTTAGGACAGCAAGCTGACACTCTGAACAGAGATTCAGGAGAGGAACGCGGAACAGCCGGACCCTGGGGTACGCTGAGCACACTCTCAGCCAGGCCAGACGGAGAAGTAACAGGAAGAGGCTTCTCCCCAGCATATGGTTCTGTCTCTGAAGCGCTGTGGCCTTTACCGTCTGCGCTCTGCACCTGGCATTTAATGTAGCCCATCTTACACTACTGGGGCAACGTCCCCAACCAGACTAATTTGTGCTAAACATAGACCATACATTCTTAACAATCCTTACATCTGAAACAATATCCTGCAAAATGTACCTACTCAATAATACTTAGTAAGTAAAAATTTAAATTACAAGGAAAATTGTTTTTGTCTACACAAGGAACAGTTTTCAAAGGAAAAAATTTATCTATGTACAGTTAACTACTTAAAGCAAACTCTTAGAGGGCAAGCTTTCAAAGGAATTCAAACTCAAACAGGTAGATAGGTGGTAACCCTGTTTCACAATCAAAGTCCTACCGTATGTAGCTCTGTTCGCATCTAAAGACCCAAACCTTACCATCGTTGGGCATGGTGAGAATGGGGATCTGAGTAATGGAGCCGTTGCGACCTTCCACTCTGCCCGCACGTTCATATATCGTGGCCAAATCCGTATACATGTAGCCCGGGAAACCGCGTCGACCAGGGACCTCTTCTCTGGCTGCTGAAACCTACAGTTCAGTCAAGAAGAACAGCACATACCAGAAATCAGAATGCAAAGCTAGGCTAGAACACATGTTTTTTGACATGCCAACTATAAAGTTCAAAATCCCATCCTTTCATTTTAGATACTATCTTAAAGTGATGATTTAGAAAAACTCATAACAAATATAAATTCAAATTCTCTGTGGTAAAAATCTGACAATTGAAAACACATTTTTTTTTTTGCTGCCGTAACATAAATCTTCAAATGGCATACTGGAAAAAAATCCGCTTGCAATTTTATAAACAACAAAAAATTAATTCTAAAACTGAGAGAATATCCTGTTTGTAAGACTTATTTCAAGCTGTGAAAGAAATGAGCCGCACTGGTACGACACAACGCCAAACACAAACGGGGAGGGAACGTGTACCAGGAACCCCGGTTCCCTCTCATACTCGCCACTGAACCTAATCCTCACAACCACCCAAGGAAGGTCGTGATCCCCAATCTACCGCTGGAATCAAGGCCACACATTGGTGAGTTTCTCAGATCACACCAGGGGTCTACTCAACAGCACAAAGTAAGAGCAGCAATAAACGGGCGTCCTTAGAGACACGCGTCCTGGAGCGCACGCACGCCCACCTACAATCACCAGGAACCTGAAGCAGTGGCGGCACACCTGTGGCACGCGTATGCTTTTAGGACAAAAGATGTTACTGTGTGCCGTATTTTTTACACTAACCCTCCGCATTCAGGTTCCGCTGCAGTGGTGACACTGTGTGATGAATGCGTGGGTTTGGGCTGCAGTCTGGGCGCTCTCTGAAAGGCTCGCTGTCATGGACCTAAGCATCGCCGTGTACATAGCGCACTCCGGGAGCACAACTCCAAGTCTAGTCTACGGACAGTAGTTACAACCGTGCAATGAGACAACACAGAAAGAGATAAGCAGGGAGACACTCTCACTGCCACTGAGCACAGTACATTTGTTCGTTGAATAGTAAGAAAAAATCTGGGTTTAAAAATGATACATCCTTCAAAAATTTTTTTCCCTTCTTAGTAGCTCACTTCTGTTGTATTTTACACAAGTGCTGGTCTATTATGGCTCGGAGAATAGTAGTCTATCACCAGTTAGCCTAAAACACTGTAACAGAATGAGGTGGGGCTATGCTCTTAGGGGATTTGAAGCAGCTAGGTGTTTATATATGAATGTGCTTTTTCATAAGATTTTTTTCCTTTTACATGCTTAAAAGAAAAATTTACTACAAACTTTCAGTGACTTGATTAGAACAAACACCCCAAAACTTCTGGGCGGCAAGGGCCTTCAGTGCTCTGCAATGAGCACTTGGGCTTGTGCAGGAAGATGTTCCCAAGAGAACCAGGCCAAACTACTGATTCCAACATCGCCATGACGCTCCCTGGTGGTCTAGTGGTTAGTATTCGGCACTCTCCCAACATCACCATCACTAAAAACAGAATTCCAAAACAGGCTAAAAATTGACAGTGCAGACGAAACAGAGCCTCCCGGGACAGCCAGGTGTGCTGACACACACCTGTAATCTCAGCACTCGGAAGCTGAGGCAGGAGGATCGTTGTGACTCTGACGCCAGCCTAGGCCACGCAGTGAGTTCAAGGCCAGGTTGAACTACACAGGGAAACCTTGTCTCAAACACCACCACCACCACTACCACAATGAAAGACAGACCCTCCCGGAGAGTGAGGGAAGGGCTGGCCACTTACTTCCCGCCACAGTCTGCTTTTAGTCTAAGGAGCCTGTGTAACAAGCAGCCTAATAATGTTAATCTCGTCCTCTGACATTTCCACCAAGTTAACAGAAAAGAAGTTGCATTTTCCTCTGGATTAATTAAGGTATCTTGCTAATAAATGAACAATAAACTTAAAAACATGATTAAAGAAAACTGGAAACTTATAAAGAGTCTAAATAACCCTGAAAATTAGCCCACGTTGTTTAATTGAGAAAAATCCCCAGAAAGCCAAAGTTACCTCTCGAAGAGCTTCGGCGTAGGAACTCATGTCCGTCAGGATCACCAGCACATGCTTCTCGCACTGGTACGCCAGGAACTCGGCTGTGGTCAGAGCCAGGCGCGGGGTGATAATCCGCTCAATACTGAAAGGAAACCAAGTCCCGGGTTTTTCAGACCAAAACCAAAAAAAATCAAGTCTGGAAATAATAGTTTCCCTTTTAATATTTTTAATAAATTGAGAGTAGAGCAACTGTTATTTGAAAAACCCTCAAATAAGGCAGTTGTTCTGTATTTACATAGTAAGAATTACTTATTGCTATAAACTGATCATTTTATAAATGCCCCATGATTTCTCAGAAGTATGTAGTTTTTCAAAACTGAGGTACTGGTGAGGAGAGAAGGGCGTAGAGAAATGAAAGCCAGACCTTTCAGATAAGGAAAACGTAACTTAGCAAACATCAGTTATATGGAAATACATACTTAAACACCGTATATATGTGTAAGTGAGATCCCATTTAATATTCAAAATAAGCCAGTGAGACAAGTATTATTTACCACATTTTATAAGCTTCAGTGTCTAATTTGCCCAAGGCCAAATAATTTTCAAGAAACAGGGCTGAAATTTAAGTACAGGTTTACGTCACACCGAAGTCCACAGGCTTTCATTATAACATTATACATAGGTAGCACCCCAGCCTTCGGTAATACTTTGACCCTCAAGCCTGGGTGAACAGAAAGAAACAGTTCTCTTTACTTACGTTGGGTCATTAGCCAAGTTCAAAAAGAGGCAGACATTGTCCATTGAGCCATTTTCTTCAAAGTCAGATTTGAAGAACCGGGCAGTTTCCATGTTTACCTAAACAGCAAGGACTTCATCAGTGCCGGGGGAGGAAGGCTAAACTACGGGTCTAATTGTTCCTTCTTTTACAACTTCAAGTATCCGCAAATTTTTCCCAAAGCCAGGCTCCGAGTAAAGAGCCTGCTTTGGCACAATGAATATTATCAAGTTTGAAGAAAATGTTAAATGTTAATCCTCAGTTTGGTCAAAATGCAAAGCTGCAACTTCTTTTAGAGATTAAGTCAACTATAATGTATGTGTAGTTTACTATGCCGCAGTAATAAAATAAGCTATTAATTCTACGGATCATACTCCAACAGACTTTATACTTACACCCATAGCAGCAAATACAATCGCAAAGTTCTCCTCGCTGTAATCCACCACATCTTTGGATTTCTTTACCAAACCAGCCTGGCGACAGATTTGAGCTGCAATCTGAAGAGGATTAAAAGAACTGAGTGGATATCTGAAGTAACATTTCTAGAACAAAACAACTTTTATCTTAAGCCTTTAAAAACTGTAACTCTCAATGAAAGGATATATTAGAGGACATACTAAGCAAAGCTATGTACTTTGTAACTTTTGCAAAGATACAGAAATGTAAGCAAGAACACAGCTGTGTACGGGTAAGGACTCAATGTACCTGGGTTACATAAACAACAGCACTGGGTACTGTGTTTATTTGGTTTCTCGGTAACAGTGATGCATCGGGAGTTCACACCAAACAGACTTTAGTTCTCACCTCATTGTGTGGTAACCCTGCAGCGGAGAAGATTGGAATTTTCTGTCCCCGAGCGATACTGTTCATGCCATCTATGGCAGAAATGCCCGTCTGAATCATTTCCTCTGGGTAGATTCGACACTGAGGATTGATTGGCTGACCTAATGCATTTCCAAAAGGGGATCTTTACTATTTCTGCATACTACTCATGAATGAAGTAGAAATCAAACCAAGTTATAAGAAGACCCAAACTACAGAAAGATTTTCTCTCTATCCCAAACACAGGTTATTTTTTTAAATTTGAAACTTGAAAATTTTCTCCTTCGACCCTTTACAAACTCACAAAACAAAATGTAATACAACTCAAGTCCCTAAAATGAAATAAAAGTTGCAGCAAATAAAAGAGAAATACTAATTTCAGAGCCATAGTTTTACCTTAAACATTCTAATCTGCCCTAGTAATACCTTATAGTACCTGAAGATATTACTCAAAATTTTAAGGTATTTTCTAGGAAAAATTTATTGAGTTAAAAGATAATTATATAATTTATAAGCTACAGAGAACACCGGTTATACATTTAAGAATGCTCTAAAAAGCACCCTATCTGGCAAATGTACAAGAGACGCCATTTCCCTCTAAGCGCAGAAATCTAATTCACTGTTCTTACCCATGATGTCAAGGAAGTCTTCCGCCAGCACAGCAGGACCCCTGTCAATGGGTTTTCCTGATCCATTGAATACACGACCTGAGAAACAGTGACAAGAGAGCACAGAATAGAGCCTAGATTTTATGGAAATGTATTTCAAAGGCAAAAGATCTCAGCTTAGAATTAATAATAATAACGTCCACTTACCAAGCATATCCTCGGACACTGGTGTTCGAAGGATATCTCCAGTAAACTCACACGATGTTTTCTTGGCATCTATACCTGAAGTCCCTTCAAATACCTATGAAAAGAGAAAATTCTCAGAAGAGTGAAAGCAATTTAGAGGATGAGCACTTGCTTCAGAAACTTACTGTCTGGTCCTTCATCTCTTCTCACGAAGTCAGAAGTAGGACCAGGAGAGACAATTTAAAGGAACAACTGACTCCACTACCATTTTGGTTTCTTTCCATAATTGGTGAATTCTGCTTTTCATCTCTTCTTGTGAAGTGATTTCATTTTCTCTATGTAAAACAGTATTTTCCCCCTGAAGCCAATAATTAACCTCTAAAGTAATGGTAACTACAGAAAACGAATGCAGTGCCCCTTACGTCAGGAGACAGCTCACCCGCCACGCTGGGGAGGCTGATGCTCACCTGAACCACTGCTTTGGAGCCACTAACTTCTAGAACTTGCCCGCTTCGCTTTGTGCCATCTGGTAATGTCAAGTGGACAATCTCCGAGTATCTGGGAAACTGCACAGGAAGAGACAAAGGATCAATAACCAACAGTGTAAAAGCTCCCCAAGTGGCTCTACACGGCAGCTCTACCACAGCACGTTACGTGCGTGATCCCCTTACCCTCCTACATATGCAGGTTTACGCCAAGAAGTCCCCCCAACACACACTATTAATACACATACTACAAACACAGCACAAGGGCCTTAAACTTCTGAAGACATGGTAATTCCACTTACTGTTTCTCCTCTGTGTGCCTGCTTTAAAATTCTAAGACCACAGAATGGTACAAAAATCACAAATACCATGTTTCTGCCACTCAGAACTGATGCTTACTTTCTGGCCTCTGTATGTGGTCACCTGTATGCTACGTAATGGGAAGATAAAATGTTATTAAAAAAATACGTCTCTGAAAATACACATTCAGCTGGGCGTGGTGGTGCACGCCTTAAATCCAAGCACTTGGGAGGCCGAGGCAGAAGAATCATGGTGAGTTTGAGGCCAGCCTGGGTTACAAAGTGGGTTCAAGGTCAGCCTGAACTGCATAGTGAGACCCTGCCTCAAAAAAAGACCAAAAAAAATGAATAAAAAAAATAAAAACACACATTCATTTAACTAAGTGGCAATGTGCTAAATTATGTCATTTTGCAACTTGCTTCTCTTACCTGACTTTATGTTTAACATCATAAACTGTCATGTTAACATTTACCTTAATTGATCAACATGCAAAATTATACTGCAAAGGCACTGCATTCACGTACCTTCCTTCTACTAGTTTAAGTACCTTTCCCTTCATCTTTGTCAATCTTGTATTTTCTCACTCATCTGTACTTTTACTGACTCTGGATAATAATCCTTTTGTAAAGACTGTCTCTTATGTTTTAAATTTGTTTATGGTACTGTATGAGTTATTGTCCTTTATGATTTATGGTGCTTATATCTTAAGAAAAGCCTTCCACCCGAAGTCATAAAAGTAGACTAATGCTCCATGAGTCTATTTTTACTAATAGACTTATGCTCCATTTTGAACCTTAATACTTCTGCATTTATTTTTGGTATCTAATTTTATCTTTCTCATTTTTATTTTTCACATGGGAAATAAATTCTCCCAACAATATTCTGCCAAGCACAAGTGTTTTCCTTCCTCCCTCACTCCCTGTCTCTTTCTTTCTGAGGCAGGGTCTCCCTAATAGCTCAGATTGGCCTTGAACTCACTATGTAGCCCAGGCTGGCCTCGGAGTCACAATGATCTCGCCTCGGCTTCCCAAGTGCTGCGACTACAGGCGTGTGCCATCATGCCTAGCAGCACAAGTGTTCTCTATGGCCTCATGATGTCGAATTAACCAGGTGAAAATCCTACACATGCAGAATACTCATTTTAGGGATCTTAATTTTGTTCCACTGATGTGTTTATTCCGGCACTGAACCCTCATGATTTACTACCTCCTACCGTCCAACCTGAGGAGATTCAACACCTTTACTATTTCGAGTCCATTCACTCAAAATAAGTGTGGTCGTTCAAAGTAAATGGACTCTCCACTTGTGCTGGGTCTTCTTTTATGATCTAACAAAATTTCACAGTTTTCTGTAAGTAATTAGTCACTTCAGGCATTGAGACTGCTACCGATTTCTGCAGACGGCTCGTGCACCCCGAAACTCTCTTCCATATCATTGTTTCTAATAGTTAGCCAGACCCAAGCCATTCAATGGCAAATTTATCACATCAAGAATCAATGACAGCCAGGGATATAGTTCAGCGGCACTTGCTGCGAAGTCCTGAGTTCAATTCCTGCTACCCGCTCCCCAGAAGACATTTGTTCCCTTTCCAATTCCTTTCTACTCTAGCTTTTTCCCCACAGTACTGATACATGTGAAGCACAAAGATAACAGTCATGGTAACAATAAGCGTTCCCACTTTGTTCCTGAATATGACACTATGCTATATAAGAAAGATGTATTTAGCCTCAGTCCACAGTTCCCGTGATTGCCTAAGTGCTAGGAATAGCAAAGGTAAAAGAAGCATCTTTTATAATTCATAACAAGTCCCTTTCAACTGCCCCCATGTACCTTGGTGGCATTTGGAAAGCCCTGAAGGGTACTGGGAGAGTGGAGGCAATGGTTGCAGGCACAGGGGAACAAGTTTTGATTAGAGAGTTAGAACTGTCACCCCATTCTCTGTCCTGAGGAGAGGAGAGGAGAGGCACCACAGTGTGACTTAATCACTACTGGCCAGAATTTGACCGATAATGTGTATATAATGAAGTCTATAAAAATCCTAACTAAAGGGCTTTTAGCGAGCTTTGGAGTTAGTAAACAAGAATGCACCCAAATGCCGAGATGGTGGCGCATCCCAGTGCCCTGGAGACAGAAGCTCCTGTGCAGAGGACCCTTCAGGACTCAGCCTGTATCTCTCTTCATGTGGATACCTGTTTGTGTCCTTTAGGTACCCTCTGCAAAAGCAGGAAGTAAATTGCTTTCTTGGGTTTGGTGAGCTACTCTAGTAAATTATGGAAAATGAGAAGAAGAAAACCCTGAACTTCCAGCCATGTCAGACAGTGACTGTGGGTACTGTAGACACCTGTCACTTGTGACTGGCACCTGAAGTGACAGGTGATAGGGGACAAACCCTCAGCCTGGGGTCTGCAGTCATGAGAACTGAGTCAAACCGAGGGACACCCAGTAGTGTGTGTGCAGAAAACTCAACTACTGTGTAGAAAAACCCGACACACTGGCATCACGATGAAATACCAAGAACAGCAGGAGAGAGAAGAGCTTCTCATGGATTTAAAACAGGAATGTTTCCGCAGCCCCCTTCAGCATGCCGTCTGCTGTAGGTGGTGGTGGGTACTCATACAAAGGTTAAGTGTGCTCTATTCCTTGCTTTCTAAGAGCCCGCCTTGTTAAATGACATGAACAATTTTAATAGATATTCTTTCAGTATTTATTCAAAAAAGCATAAGCATTTTCTAGTTTAATCCATGAATGTGTTGAATTATCCTGATACATTTTCTAATGTGAAATCATCTTTATAATTACTGGGATAAACAGTACTTTGTCATAATGTTATTGATTTCTGCATAGGTATTTTTGCTAATATCTAACACCTAAGTATATTTTACTAAGAATTTTGGAATATATGCTAATAAGTGAGAATAGCTATATTTTTCTGTTCCTGCACAACCCTTTGGTCCTGGAATCAAAGATATGCTTACTTCGTACAACGAGCTGGACAGCAGCTATGCATCTTCTTTTTATCTGGACAGAATTTAATTATCTGTTCCTTGTTCCTATGTGTATGGCTTATAGTAATTAGAAACAAAAGCCAAAAACTAACAACACACCTTCCCCAACACACAAACTACTTTAAATCTATAGTACAGACCTATTAATTATTTATTTTTATTTTTTTTTGAGACAGCAAGACAAGTGTCTCATCTCACTATGTAGCCTCAGATGGCCCCAGTCTCATGGAGGTCCTCCTGCTTCAGCCTCCTGAGTGCTGAGATTATAGGCATGTACTACCACACACGTCAATTTTTTTTTAACATAAAATTTATTTACCAGCTTTTTCCCATCTAGAGCTATATCCCAAAGTAACATTCAATAAACCTTTTTTGCGCTTTTACAATTACTTCTCCAAGCCAGTTATGGTGGTGCACGCCTATAATTTCATCTATTTGGGAGGCTGAAGCAATAGGATTGCCAAATTCAAGGCCAGCCTAAAGGCAGCTTAGTGAGACCCTATCTCAAGAAATAAAAAGGGCTGGAGTATCTGTAGCTTGCTGGTAGAGTGCTTGCCTAGCATGCACGAAGCCCTGGGTTCAATCTCAGGTAGTACACCCCTTCTCCTACAAAAAAACCCAGAAACGTTTTCCAAGTCTTTCCAGTTTCTGTCTCTTACAGCATCCTAAGTTACCCTCCACACACTATTATATGCTTAGGTATTTTCACTCTGTCTCCTCTGCTGCACCATGCGCTTTAGCGAGGGAGGGCCCGCTGTGCTCACCACGGTATTTTCTGTGCTGAGCTCAGAGCTAAAGAAAACTCAAACCTAAGTACTTGGTGCGGTTTCTCAGTAAAACTGATACAAAAAATTCTGTATTTTAAACACACAAACCAAGCTGCCCAGCGTGGAATCTTGGCAACTTGGGGGGCTGAAGTTGAAGGACGGTGAGCTCAAGCCCTACATGGCCAACTTAGGGAGACCTGTATCCAAAAGAAGGCCAAACTTTTACTTAGCAAAGAATATGGGGGCGGGGGAAGAGAAGACATGGAAGATAAAGATACAGTGTAAACTTCCAAATATTTTCTTAAAAAAAAAAAAAAAAAACAAAAACGGTGGAGGGTTCATTTTTATACAACCTGAGTGTGGTACACTGAGGCTTTAACGGATCTGCAGGCAGTATGAAACTGTGGTCAGTAGCTAAACTCACTGGGCACTTCACCCTTTTAAAAGACGGCTTCCCACTTGGTTTTGGGGGATGGGGTGGGACAGGGTGGACACAGGCCAAACATACTCCCATCATCATTAGCTTCTCCCCGGCCCAGCCCAGTAACAACCACACAGGGTCACTATTCTAGAAAGCGCATTACACAAATGAGTTTCTCTAAGCAGATTCTGACAGGACAGCTCAGGCAGGAAGCTTGGCCAAGATATCTAATTATAAACTACATTCCATGCCTCGCTTTCTAAAATAACAGCAAATGTTTGTAATTATTTTTTTTTGTGTGATTTTTTTACATATAGGCTAAAAATGTGTTATAATTATTACAACAAACTAAGTATAAACTATACTTTGGGGTGTTAGTCATTACTCAGACAACTGGTTCTTGTACACTCAGTACTTTAATATCAGTATCAAGTTGTCTAAGAAAAGTAACAACTCTCTAAGAAAAGTAACTTAAGAGGTTAAACTGTAGTAGAAAAGACAGTACAAATACTATTAAAAATAACACACACAGCAGTCTACAAGAAGATATAAAATACCATTTACCTGCATAATGTACTGAGGGTTATAAAACACACACGGAACCATTACTCCTGTTTTCCTCTTAAAGCTGTTAAGTAGGATTTTTTTTCTCCAATCTTGCAGACAAGGAGCTCCAAACCATAGGAGAACCTACACTACATCTGGTTCTGGAATCATGTCTTTTGACTTTTGGTCTCAAACTTTTGTTTCCTGTATAGCACTGATATTCAGGCACAGACGGGTTTAAAAGTTGTTACAAAAAGTTTATAATGCAGTGGACAGGCCGTGATACCAGGCTTTTAACTAATAACTAGCTGGACTGTAGCAGAGCAGTATTACCTTCACATGATCCAAGATCACTAATGGGCCGTTGACTCCGGATACTGTTTTATATGCTGGAAAAAAACACAGAAAAGAGTCACATTTAGTCAAACAGCCTGAAAGTATGGTGTTTCCAAAAAGCCTCTATCACACCTGTGAACACATGGAACACTCAAACAGCTGTGCACACTTTCAATGGATTGGTAAAACGTGCCTTTACAACTTTTCATAGTTCATCTGCACCCAACCGAAACCATTTTGAATGTTCTAAGTCATGAGAACAGGAAACCAGGCTGCCTCCCTTTACAAGTTCTGCTCTCACATGAAGGAGAATAAGGTATGTACAGAGAAGGTTCCTGTGAGCACAGCAAACAGAATATAGTTTTTATCTTGGGGAGAAAAGGAAGATCTTTATAGAAGAGATGGCATTCAGCTAAGAAGATGAGGAAGGGAAAGGGAATCTTAATAGCTTTAAGCACAAGTGACAAAACTGGCAGTGAAAATATGAGAAAATGTAGCCTGCAAGGAAAAGACATGATTAAACAGTGTCATAAAAATCATAGGAAAAGAGCTTGTGAAGGAGGATTGTAGGAAATGGAAGAAAAGGGCCAGGGGTTAATTAAGAAAAATGTTCTTTAAAAAGAAAAAGGGTGGGTAGGTATGGAACAGTAACTTCATGGCACGTTAAAGAAACTGATGCTAGCCACTGAATAGTATGCACAGACACATACTGCTTGTCTATTCTGTAAGGTATGACCTAAATCCCCCATGGTAGCCATTCTTCCCCGTGGAGGACCACCTGATAACTCTCCCGGAAAGAAGGGCAAGCTGGGTGTGGTGGCACATGCCTGTAATTCCAGCACTCGGGAGGCTGAGGCAGGAGGATCCTTGCCAGTTCGAGACAAGCCTGAGCTACAAAATGAGCTGAAGGCTGGTCTGAACTACATAGCAAGACTCTGTCTCAAAAAAAGACTAAAAAAAAAAAAGAAAGAAAGAAAGAAAGAAAGAAAAAAGAAAAGAGTAATTATCTCCATTTTGGCTAAACCTGGCCTTATTTCCAAGTATTGATATGTACAGAGCTGGCTAGGACTTTTCCTTATCTCAATTGTCTTTAAGCAATGCAAATCCATCTAGCAGAGGTGCTAATGTGTACTCTTTGAAGCAGGTTGATAGGTCAATGTCACCCTGCCCTGTAGCTCCCAAGAAGCATGTGCGAATGTAAGGAAAGAGAGACCTGAGCTCCAAGCTGTCAGCTGGGATCACTGTGCTGGGAGCGGGAGCCTCCACAAGATGAAAGGCTAAGACTTCCCAGGGCATGAAAGATCACACATCAGAGCTGAAGCACAGACCCCAAAACGGTAGATACTACTTTGAATTGTGTTATGCAGATTACTCCTTCTCCATATCCTTCTCTCTGCATTTGCAGAGGTGACTTCAGGCGTCCTCCCTACCTGGCCCACCTCAGGGCACTCATGTGCTTCCTGCCCCTCTCACAGTCATTCATCCCCAAGCCACTCTCCACTTCATGAATTAATAAAACCTGGTTCAGCCCCAGGTAGGAGCCTTTGTTCCAGGTAGCCCTCACCCGAGCTGCACTTAGGACACTCTTGGTTCCTAAAATATGCCTTAATGTCTTTATTCTCACCCTGGGTTATACTGGAAGTGATAGATTGGAATTAACTTGCTAGAATTTCAATGAGTTTCCCTTGGGATTTCAAATGTGGATTTTTCTGCACCACGACAAAGTCTAGAAGGGAAAACTTCTTGGTAAGAGTAATGGTGCTAGGTATTAAAAAAAAAGAATTAGTGGGAAAGAGTAATTCTAACAGACTTCAGAATTCACAAATTCTATAAACTAAACACCTTTAAAAACTATAATTTTTGAAGAAAATGTATTACAAAGCCTGAAACAATTTCTATAAAGCTGTTAACCAATGAAGAATTTAGGCATTTTTCACTTGTTTGATTTTTGAAGTTCTTGTATTGCGCTTGGACAGAGTTTCCTGGCATAAATACATGAACTGCTAAGAATGAGGAAACCATTTAATAATCGCACTGTCTGCTTAAGAGGCTGTGGAATTCAAAAATGCAATTCCCCCCACACCGGGAGAGAGCAAGTGCCCTGGTGCAAATGCCGGGACAGAGCAGGCAAGGAGTCCCGCCCTGAACACTAACAGTAACAGGACATTTGCATCCAGACATCTAACATGTGCTGAAAGTATCAGTCACTCTGATAGACTCCATAGGGGCCCACACAGACAGTTCATAAACTTTAGGTAAAAGGAGACTGCAAGTTGAAAGAGTAAGCTACCTGAATGGATGGTAATGTAAAAGGATCATTCTCCTCAAGATTACAGGAAGACTCCATCTGCTCCATTTTCTTCCACTGTTAAGAAAGTGCCTCCCATTATTTCAAAATAATCTACCACTGTTAAAAAAATACTTCCAACATTTAAAATATTTATTCATGATTCTCAAGACTCCAAACATTCTGCTGTCATCATCCCCCTCCTTCTCTGGGTGTACTGGGGACTGAATCCAGGGTCTTTTCCCTAGCCCTCCTCCTAGCACTCCCCAGGCTGGCCTCAAACTTACACTCTTCCTCCCTCAGCCTCCTGGATAGCTAGGACTGTAGCAGTGTAGTACTACGCCCCATTGTGAAACATGTTTTCTTGAAACGCAGTTTTCAAAACCATAGAATCACAAGGTTTTTCAAACCTTGAGTTAATGTGTGGGGTAGAGGGAAGGAAATCCAGTTTTCAAATTTATAACAAACTCTGTCTTGAATAAAATATAGCATCATTAAAATCCTTTGAATTCTTAAAATTCTCTACTTTTGCAAAAAGATGTATCTTTGAAATTCTAATTTACAACTGTGCTTCAGAACCTCAAGTTTAAAATTCAAGCTCATTCCACACTACAAAGTTTTGCCAGTCACCAGTAAAACACATGACCCAGTGAAAGAAACATTAGTCATGGCTTTTCCTGGAAACAGTGAACGGAGGTGACTTCCACTACTTTTCAAAGATAAGCTTCCACCTCACCAAGAGTCTCCTCTAAATCTCCAACAAGGAATACATATCCTTTAAAGTCAGTAAGTGACTCTCACAGTTCACTGATGAACGTCAGTACCACCAAGATACATCTAACGAGTGCTTGTTAGAATTCTCATTGAATCTCTGTAATACACTGTTATGGTTTGTGTCTGGATGTCCCCCGCAAAAGCCCCATGGGGGCCAGGCTTTTGGGAGTCAAATGAGTCTAGAGTTTGTGACTGATTCATGGTCCAATGCTGGGAATATGAATGTGAGTGCTACATGGGCCCTAGGGTGGGGGAGCCTTGCGTACACTATAAGGGACAGAAAGAGGTTTGCTCTCCCCTCCTCTCTCATTGCTTTTGGTATCTTCCACCACAAGGAACAACTGCCCTTCAGCCAAGACACTGTGCCTTAGAGCCAGCTGATTATAGACTGAAACCTCTACAGATTGTGAGCTACATCAACCTTTCCTTCTTTAATCTTGGGTGTTGGGTATTTTGTCCCAGTAACGAGAGACAAGTAACTAAGACACACCAACAAACTATTATTGAAAGTTTCTGAAGATGATTCTCAGAGAAATTTACTTGTCCAAGGATATGAACCTGCAGCCTGGCTCCAGTCACTTCTTTAATGCTACTGCAGACAAATTCTAAAACTGAACTGCGTGGTGGTGGTGGGTGTCTGTCCTTTTCTTTTAGTGATATGGTACATTTTAGCACTTATCTGCAAGAATTATGTGGCAACAAGACCCAAAATAATTTCATGACTGTAATTTTAGCTATGAAAAATAGTTAAATTTTTAAACAAAGAAAAAAAGGTAATTTTTACTATCTAATGGACTAGGCAATACAGCCCTTGTGACCACACTTTGTGATTACTGCAAAACAGTCTTTCTCCTGGGGAGTCACAGCTCCTGGGGAGCCTACAGAATGGAACTGAGAGATGCTCTAGCAGTTTTCTCTCATTGAAAATCAAGAAAACACACTGCTTGTGTACAAATCAGAAGAGAAACATGCTCAGCATAAATTAAACTGACATATAAAGTGAAGCTAATAGATCTCAGAACCCAAGCCAAGTTAAAATACTACCAAGTTATATATTTGGAAAGCGTATCATGCTTTTACAGAGCATTTTTAGACAGTGTTTAGCTTCCAAAATTTGCAAGGTAAGCAAAGCAGATATAATGTCACTTTTCACTTTACATACAAGGAAACTAAAGCCCAAGAAATTTGTTATCAAAGGGCTAACAGTTTTTTTTTTTTTAAATTATAAGGTTAGTACTCTGATCCTGTAACACTTCTGACATTAGTCTTCAGTATAATTTAAAACTATGAAGATGATACAGTTCCAGCACTTAGACTACAAATAAGTACTAGGAGACATTTTAAACACAAATCACAGCTTTTTTCATGGTAATGAAACTATGTACAAAGAATGGGAGTAGAAAAAAACGATACCAAATGCTACCCCTCCACAATATGCATCCAGCCTCGCTCACTGTGACCATTAACAGTCCAAGCAGAGATAACAGTTTGAAGTTCCACTGTAGAAGATACTAAGTTGTTCTTATAAAACCGAAATCCATTCACAAATTATTTATCAAAATCACTCTTGTCTTGAAAACATCACAAGAGCATCAATGCAAAGGTGGGTATAAAAGCTTTTCCTGGTCTTATTGTGGTCCAGGAAGTTTATATTTGCAATCCCAAGGGAAACTCATTGGAATTCTAGCGAGTTAATTCCAATCTACCACTTCCAGTGCAATGCATGGTGAGAGTGAAGACACTAAGGCATATCTGTAGTTGTGGGGAGCGCGGGGTGTTCTCACTTCAGCTCCGGTGAGGGCTAACTGTAACAAAGGCTCCTACCCGGGGCTGAACCAGGTTTTATTAATTGGTGAAGAGGGGAGTGGCTTGGGGATGAATGACTGTGAGAGGGGCAGGAAGCACATGAGTGCCATGAGCCGGGCCAGGTAGGTAGGAGGCCTGAAATCACCTCTGCAGCGTGCAGACAGAAGGATATGCAGACGGAGTAATCTGCATAACACAATTCAAGGTAGTATCTAATGTTTCGGGGTCTGTGCTTCAGCTCTGATGTGTGATCTTTCATGCCCTGGGAAGTCTTAGCCTTTCATCTTGTGGAGGCTCCCGCTCCCAGCTGACAGCCTGGAACACAGCTCTCCCTTCCCTCACATTCACACATGCTTCTTGGGAGCTACAGGGCAGGGCAACACTGGCAGCTTGCTTTATTTTATTTTATTTTTTTTTGGTTTTTGGTTTTTTTTCTCCGGTACTGGGAACCGAACTCACGGACCTTGCGCTTGCCAGGCAGGCGCTTTTGCCTCTGAGCTAAATCCCCAGCCCCCAGCTTGCTTTAAAAAGTATACATTAGCACCTCTGCTAGATGGATTTGCATTGCTTCAAGCCAACTGAGATAAGGAAAAGTCCAAGCAGCTCTATATTGTATCAATACTTGGAAATAAGGCCAGGTTTAGCCAAAATGGAGATATAATTGCTCTTCTTTCCAGGAGAGCCATCCAAGTGGTCCTCCACAGGAGGGCATGGGAGGACGATCAGAATGCTAACAACACAGTAAATACATGCTTACATTATATACTCTACACATTTACAACCAAAGGCCACATCTTCAGCTTTGAACCAGAGCAGGCAATAAATATTTATGGAGTTACATTTTTTTTAAAAAAAACCCTATGTACAAAGATTCTGCAGACCACATATTTTTTCACATCACACCCTCTGCCTCCTGCAGGATAAAAGACTGTTCAACACTGTTACTGTCCTTAGTGATTGTGACATAGTCAAAGAAAAAAATTCAACAGTTGTTGCACAATAAGACTCCTAGGCCTGGAAGCTCTCCGCCTTACGAACAAAACAAAAACTCAGAGCAATCACCTTCTCTTGCACAAGAAGAGTAGAGACATAAGCCTGAGCAATGGCCAGTCGAAGACTCCTCACTGACTTTTCTTAGGACTACTTCTCCCTTAAGATGTAAGAAACTTAGGTTCACCATCACTGGTCTAGGGTCTCAAGAAAAATGGAGAACATTGAATTTAAAAGTATTGAGCACTCAAAAGCTCTGTTATTTCCAAACCTCAGTCAAGGTTTAAAAAGAAAGCAAGTTTTCCTTCCCCGTGTTTTTAGACATTCAACTAGCGTTCAGGATTACTAATTTCAAGCTGAGTATTTTACTTTCCATTTCTCTTTAATGGACCTATAATCCCAAAGTTGTTTTTAAACAGGGTTTAATTTGTACAGTGGGGCTGCCAAAATTACTTCATCCCTTCATTCCAAACCACACATTAAATAACTATAATTACTTGAACTTTGATGGTATCATCAATTTTTAATTACAAAAATTAAGATGTTAATCAATATTTACTAGACGTGTTTGTTTTAAAATTTTATTTATTTATTTTTCGGTTTTTTGAGACAGGGCCTTGCTAAGTAGACCAGACTGTTCTTAGACTCAGGCGATCCTCCTGTCTCAGCTTTCCGAGTGCTAGGGTTATCCTGAGTCCTAGGGTTATAGGCATGTGCCTCCATGGCTGGCTCAGAAGCATGTAAAACTGTTAACTAGAACCAACAAAGTAGCATAATAGGAAAAAGATGATATTAAAATGCAATTAGTTGTTAGCCTATGTATCACATTACTTAGGCTTTTTTGAATAATGCACAATTTAATCTGGTATTCTAACTCTCTATTGATTCCATCTGTATTAAAAGTCTACCCACTTTGCAGGGCATGGTGGTACATGCCTGTAATCTCAGCACTCGGGAGGCTGAGGCTGGAGTTTTGCAGCAAGTTCAAGACCATCCTGGTCTACATACTGAGTTGAAGGCCAGCTTTGACTACGTAAGACCCTGTCTCAAAAAAACCAAAAACAACCCAACTCCCTATTAAACCATCAGTACAAGGGGTTTAAATGCAAGTTACACTTTTTAAAGTTTTAGGACATCTTCTGTGTCAGGCACTGTGCAAGGTGCTGGGGATACACAGAGGATCCCTGATCTCTAGGATTGCATTTTAAGCCTTATGCTCCAACGGCTTTGTCGGCAGGAACTGTATCTGGAGAGGATTCGGCCACTTGGTTAAACACACATAGAATGTGGAAGAATCACAGAATCTCCCTAAACAGTTTACAGCCTTGAGTACTCTTTAAAACAATATGATTACCTTTGTTCTGACAATGAGTGATGAATTACATGAAAACTATTGTACCCTTAAAACCTTTTTCTACTGGCACCACTAATGTGTGTACCTCTTCTGCCCAAGGCAAAGCATACACATGCAAGTAATAAAAGAAAACCTGTAATTCTTAGGAATAAATGTACTGCCTCGGGTTATATAAGAGCGTGGTATCTGTCAATCTGCTAAACATTTACTTCAGCTGGTAACAATCCCCCTCCCCCACCAGGCATTCTCTAAGTCAAGCAATTCCCAATGTAAAAGGCGCATCTCAGCAATCTCCACTGAATGTGTTTTCCTTCTTCCTCACGCTGCAGTGCTGTCACATGACCCAGCTGACAGATCAGGATGGGATTAGTCAGGCTCTAGACTGCCCCACTAAAACCTTTCATGTGAGATTCTTTTTAACCAATGAGCCACCCACAAACAGGCAGGCTGGCAATTAACCAGTGCAAATTCTGTCTCACTACCTGGGAAAACAGCAGGCACTTTTTAAGTTTTTTTTTAACAAAATTTTATTTCCAGAGATCATGCCCAGTCCCTAAGGAAGCTGTCAAGAGGTTTGACGCTACCCAACTGTAATTTTAGTAAGAACCATTTCTTCTGGAGCTGCTGAACTATCTTCTTAAACATAGCAGTTTATTATGTCCTTTGATACTCGTAACACCTAAACAAGCCTAAGTATGTATGCTACAGATGGGCAAAGGTGCTTGGCTTTCCCAAAGAACCTTGCACTCAACCCACACTGGTTAACTGGTCAGTAAATGAAGAAGCAATGGCAGGAAAAAAAAATGTCTGGGGAGAATTAAGAAATCAAGGATTTTTAGTTCCTGTTCTGCCAATAGTTAGATGCCTGAAGCCTTAAGTCCTAGCCTCCCCAGAACCTTCCGGCTTCTCACTTGTAAAATGAGAGGGCTGGACTGCATGACTCGTAGGGTACTTTTCAGTTCTAAGGTTCTCTGATAACTAAGTGTCCTCCTGGGAAGCAGCCCCTCCGCCCAACAAGCCCCATCCCCCTGCAGCAGGGGCCTGATCTGCAGCCACGAAGGGCCAGCGCACGCCAGCGATGTCACCGAAGGTCCGCGCTGGTCAGGGGCTCTCCGCCCCCACCCCCGGGTCCTCAGCTGCCAGAGGGGTGGGAACAGCGGCAGCTGGACTCCAAGGCATTCAAACGAGGTCAGAAGAGTAAGGTCCGAGGGCCAGGAAGAGACCCTGTGCGGCAGGCAAGTGCGTGGGATTGCTCCAGCCCAGGGAAGGAGAAGATGGGGCCGCAGCCACGAGCCCACCGACCCCAGCAAAGTTCCCCGTCGGCGCTCTCGCCCTCCGCCCATCTGTGTCGCGGAAATGCAACAAGCAAATCTCCTACAGAGGCACTTACGGGTCCTGGGTGGGGGAGGTGGGAACGCAGCAGGGAAAAATAAATACCACTCCTTACTCGCTGGCTAAACAGGTGAGTGGGACCAAAGGCTAGGCTGGAAGGCAAACACAGGGTAAGTCTTGCTTCTTGATACTCACTGAGCCGAGGCTGGGAGAGGTAGTTCCTGCTGACTGCCAGTGCCTGCTCCCGAGCTCCCGCCACGGACCCACTGGTGGGCATGGGCAGCTCGGGTGCGGCCCCGTTCACCATCCCCCGCATCGCCCGCAGCGCCATCTTGTCTCCTCTCTCCCGACTGGCCCCGCAGCAGCCCCGCGCAGGCGCAGATATACCAAGGCGGCCCGCGCACCTGGCTCCGCCCATGCGCGCTGCGGATCCTCGGCCTGGCCCCGCCCTCTGCTGGCGCCCCGCCCCCGCCTCGTGACTAGACTCCGTGGGGGCGGAGCTTAGAGCGCAGGAGAGAGGAGCTGACCAGCGTGCTGGGAGGGAGGGCGCTCGGCTAGGAGGAAAGAAAAGGGAAGCGGAAGAAAGGCACAGAGAAAGGCGGGATTGAGAAAACGGATAAGCGAGAAGAAAGGCCTTTCGACGAGAGGGCAGGAAGAGGTTGGCAAACACGTACAAGAAAGGGTTAGCTGATGACCATTTTAGAGCAGCCTCTCTTCTGTAACTTGGATTACAGAAGACTCAAGCTATGGAAACCTCCTAGAAAATCAGAGGAAATATAAAGACATCGCTTGACTTTGCAGCCTTCCTACCCAGTTCGTTCACGCAAGTGTCCATTCTGCAAACGTACTGGCCTATTCTAAGCTGTGGATAGCCGGGTGAAAGACAAATAGGAGCAGATCTGAAAGCTGTCTGAGGGAGTGACTGGCTGGCCGTGGAAGATGGTAGCCCCGGCCTGATGGAGCGGGTGGACTGATTGTGGTGGTCTTTACGAGAGAACAGAGAAAGGAAGGAGAAACTTTGCTGGTGTTAGGGGAAGAGAAGAAAAACTATTCTGTTCTCCGGGTCTGTTAAATTTCCAAGAAGGAATTTGGGCGTCACCGAGATAAGATTTGTGACTTATCAAGTTAATGTGGAGATAAAAGAGACAAACCAAAGCCAACGCCCACCCACCCCAGCCCTGCCCTGGCAATTGAACCCACGCCCTTTGCACTGAGCTACATCCCCTGCTCTTTTTATTTTTATTTTGAGGCAAGGTCTTGCTTAGTTGCCCAGACGGAGGTTTAAATTTGTGATCCTCCTGCCTCAGGCTTCCCAGTGCTGAGATTTACAGGCACGTGCCACCAGGCCTAGCTAAACTAACTTTTAACTGATCATTATGATTGCAGAGTATACGAAGGAAGAGTATCCTGCCATTAACTTGGAATGTTATCAGAGATGGACAAAACCCAGAATACATGTCCTAGAAGACAAAAGAAGGGAAAATTTTCAGGAAAGGCTATACAATGCCCCAAACAGGACAGACACAAGGAGAACTAAAGTGTTCATTGTAGATAACTGATAGAAGGCCGTTGTGATATGATGGGGAGAGAACCTTGAAGAAAATTAAATTTTTGAATAGTAGATGTGGGGATGGATTTAGGAGTAAATTGTATTTAATGTCGGTATATGGGTTCACCATCCATAAACCAAAAATTTAAATTCCCAAATGCTCCAAAATCCCCAAATTTTGAGTGTCAACATGATCCCACAAGGGGAAAATTTATTCTATAAGAATTACTTTCATGTACAAAATTATGAAAATTGTGTAAAATTACTTCAGGCTACACGTATGTGGTGTGTATGAAATGGTAATGAATTTCACATTTGGACTTAGGTCTCATCCTTAAGGTATCTCAGGTATATGCAGACAGTACAAAAATTTAAAAAGAAAACTGAAATCCAAAACATTTCTGGCCCAAGTACTTCAGATAAAGGGCAATAAACTCATATTACAAGTGAAGTTAACATTTCTCAGTTACTTGAATTTTACTTTGAGTACATCTCTTTTCTTTCTACTGTGATATAAAATGTCCACTGCCCTTTTGAATTATATGACTGAAATAAGCATGATTAGTAAGACTGAACATTATTTTGTATGTTTCAAAATTCAAGGCAAAGCACAATGGAACTGGCTACAAGTTTTATTTACCTAGTGTCCAAAATTGGCAAGAGTATAAGGAAACAGAAATGTTTATGTTTTATACTTTATACATAGGAATATAATTAGTATGGTATTCAGACAAGCAATTTGTTATTCACATATGCTCAGAGAGAAGGTAGAGCTGTCACTCAGGGACAGGAGATAGCAGAGTATTATAGTTAAGAAGAGGCAATCTAGAACCAGACAGACTTAATTTAAGTCCTGATTTTATTAGTTCTATGACCTTGAACAAAGATTTACCCTCTCTAGGTCCCATTTGTAAAATGAGGATAATAATATCTTTTCTCCAAAATTGTTGCAAATATTAAAACAGATAGTGACACAAAGTTTTAGCAAACAGCAAGGCTAGATATTGCTAAACTAAAAGTATTCTTACATACTTTTATTTATTGATAAAACATTTACACAGTAATTACCATGTGTCCAGTCTTTCCTAAGGACAAAATACTACATAGGTGGTTTTTACTAGGCAGGTACTGCACCTTATGATTTTTTGTCTTATATCTAAAGTACCAAGGGAGGTAACTTGGACATAATAAATCTCTAGCTGGGCTTGGTGGCGCACATCTGTAATCCCAGCACTGGGGAGGCTGAGGCAGGAAGGGGGCTCAGGCAGGCTCAGGCAGGCTGAGGTTGCAAATTCAAGACCAGCCTGGGCTACAAAGTGAGCTCAAGGCCAGCCTGACCTGCACACCAAGACCCTGTCTCAAAAAGACCAAAATAAATAAATAAATAAAAATCTCTACCAGAGAAATGAAAATATGTTCTTCCTTCCTTAAGAATAAACACTTAAAAAAAAAAGAATGAACACTTGTCCACCAACCTTATTCTTAGGGAGGGGTTTTTCATAGGAACAGTCACTTTACTGAGACTGTATAATAGTTATTATCCTCCTCTTACTTGCTGAAATCCTATCCCTACTTTACTCCCAAGGACTGCAAGGATAGCTGGCCCCAGTAGCAAGGAACGTGGTCAAAGCATAAGACTCTGAGTCACCACCCTGGTTTTAGTGTTGACTGTATTTTACCATACAGTATGACCTCGAGGCATCTTCAGTTCCTTTTGTCTTTGGGTTTCCATCTGTAAGCAGGGAAGATTTTATGTGATGCACAGTTCTCAAAGGATTTTAAAGAAAGCTTGCAGAAATCAACACTTTAAACAGAAATGTGAATTCTTATTTTTTATTACAAACATTTATTGAGGAAGAAAAATAAGGAAGGGAAGGGCAGGGAAGCTCATGCTAGTGACCTAATTTTCTCCATATAATGTGCATCTGTCTTCATTTGCTGGAAAAGCTTGATCAAGGAAAATATTATTAAGATAAACCACATCAGATTAAATAAATAGGCCTATAGATTTCCATGTAAGAAGGAGCAAACTGATATACAATTATCATGTAGAATTTTCTGAAGAAGGAGGGGAGAAGCAGATATTTTAAATTTTCATTTGTTGATATATTGGTTACTTTATAATTCTTCAGAGATGCACGGTGAGATTCATAGCTGTAAATAGCTTTTCCTGAGCAGAGATCTATGGTTCTATTTCATATGCCACATTTCTTTCATTGTCACTATGTGACAAACCACAAATGTGCTGTGAAGAAGAGAGGGAACAGCAGAGGGCCCCCTATGATCAGAACTAGGGCTACTTAGGAAGAGATGGATGCAAATGTTTACACATAAATGCCAAGAAGAGGCCAGTGGGTAGAAACCTAATCGTCAGTGAGATAAATGCTGATACACTATTTGTTGTTGTTACTGTTGTTATTATTATTTGAGACAGGGTCTTGCTATGTAGTCCAGGCTGGCTTTGAATTTACTGTGTGCCTCAGGTTGGCCTTGAACTCGCAGCAATCATCCTATCTCAACGTCCTGAGCACTGGGATTACAGACATGTGCTGCCACACCTGGTTGCTGATACATTTTTAGGGGGAATATTATTCAGACACTAAGTCAGTGTTATGGCTTGTGCTTACATGTCCCCCCAAAGCCTCAGGCAGTCATAGGTGGGAATTTTTCTGAGGTGGCTGGACCTGGAGTGTGTGACTGATTCATGGTGCAGTGCTAGGATTAAGGGTTCTAGGATTAAGGGTGTGTGGTTACTAAATCAGTCCACTGATTGGTTTGGCACTGCCCTAATCCCACTATCCTAGATAGAATGTTGAGCATTTTGTCTCAGCAGTGAAAAAAGTAACTAAAAGAGCCACACAGGAACTCTTTTAAGTATGGGAAAATTTTCACTATATAGTATTGAGGACAATGTTTTATATGAATTGACATACCCAGAACGATCTGCATTATTGATACATGTACCCATACACTCAGAAAATATTGGAGAGGTATATGTTATATTAACAGTGACTATCTCTGAGTTATGAGATGTTTTGTTTTTCTTCAGTACATTTGTCAATTTTTTGACATGAGCATCTACTATACTTTTTAACCAGAAGTAAAATTAGAAATATTAAAGTGTTTCTCTTTCAATTGTTATAGTTTTGGTTTGTACAAGCAGCAGGTTCTGTAACAAGTGGTACAGAAAGTGCATACTCAGGAAAATGGAAAGTTCTGCCTTACAGAGAGACCTGCAAGGAATCGGGTCAAAGGGGGTAGTAAGAGATAACAGAGGCAACACAATAAGAGCTCATTGTTTTACATCTAAAACTAGTTTATGATTGTTAGGCCACAAGTGGGCCTTGGGAATCAACTGGACTTATCTTTCCAATTTACAGATGAGGGAACTAAAGCTCAGAAAAGTCAGTCGATCTTTTTCTAAGTTCCCCAGGGAGATAGCAATCTGAGTTTCCTAGACTGCAGCCTCTGTAGTGCCCTAGTTCTGCCTCTGTCTCCGTTTGAATACGTACAGGATAAATATTGGTGATCTGTTCCACCCCTAGCTAGGGGAACTTTGGAAGGCCAAATTAATTCTATTCTTAGAATCCTCTGACCCTCTGAAAGGAGAATCCAAGACCCAGGCTCTAACTTGGTATCGGCCTGAAGTCGTTTCTCTGATGTTAAAGATGAAGTGGGGACAAAGTGGACTAATATCTGGGCTTCTCAGCAAACATTCTAGGAACATTTGTATCATCTCTGTTTTTTTACCAGTTGTCATGGTAATGTGCCTGTGCTATCTCAGAGTCTAAATCTCATAGCCAGAAAGGCTTTTTTTTTTTTTTTTTT